ATGGATAAGTAAATGCAAGATCAACTATAAGTGAAACGTTTGTGTTCTTTACCTATAAAGATCCTAAGTGCAACACTTTTTGAGAAAATTCTTTTTTGAAACCGACGGTCCTAGGGTCAAGTAAACTAGCGGTCACCTCTTTCAGTGACCTCGTCATATGAAAGGACTATACCCAGCCGCCTTTACTTTCCGTAACGTGAGTTAGATACCCATCAAAGCTAGGACTCAAGAACGTTCTTCTGACTTGAACCCCGGATTCTGGTTCTATCGCTCTACGGCTAGGCCACGCCGCCCCGTATTACCCGCTTTCCTATTACAATTATTACATTCTCCCCCCCCCCCCCCCCTTCTCAATGCATGAGATGTTACAGCCACCCGTGTAATCGAACCCACAACCGTTACGTCAGGCTGAGTGACGGTGGCAGAGGCGGTTAGAAATCAGGCGCGTGAAAAATATGGAACAGCTGTCCTCCCACACATTCTGTAGTTTTCATTTGACTTGGTTAGTTTGTAAATTGGGGGAGGTGGGAGGTGGTGGTGATTGGGGGAAGGGGTGGTTGAGGCGGTAGTGGGGGGGGGGGGGTGAGAAAGGATGGGGTGAGGGTTGGTGTATGTGATGGGAGGGCGAGGAGGGACGGGTTGGGGGGGGGGAATGTTAGAGGTTTGGGAGGGGGTGAGACGGTGGGGATGAGGGGTCAAGTTTGCAAGTGGCATCTGCTTACACCCACTAAAACACACACGGTGAAAACATCTCAAACTTAAGAAACCGTCAAATTTAATCAAACTGAAAATTTGGGGTCATACATAGTGTCTACTACTCCTAGCTCTCCCCCAACCCCCAACAATCGATGTTTTTCTTATTTGAAACATAAATTTAATTCTAAAATAATAAATGAGCTGGGCCAAGATTAGACACATGTTCATTACAGTTTACAAAAGAGACTGAAAAACATGAGAAATAGCTGCAGGGTCTGACTAAAAACATGAGAAATAGCTGCAGGGTCTGACTGAAAAAAACATGAGAAATAGCTGCAGGGTCTGACTGAAAAACATGAGAAATAGCTGCAGGGTCTGACTGAAAAACATGAGAAATAGCTGCAGGGTCTGACTAAAAACATGAGAAATAGCTGCAGGGTCTGACTAAACACATGAGAAATAGCTGCAGGGTCTGACTAAAAACATGAGGAATAGCTGCAGGGTCTGACTGAAAAACATGAGAAATAGCTGGAGGGTCTGACTGAAAAAACATGAGAAATAGCTGCAGGGTCTGACTGAAAAAACATGAGAAATAGCTGCAGGGTCTGACTGAAAACGTAACTTAAAATAAACAATAATTTTTTTATGTGATATGTTCTAATACAACTTCTAATTTTCATTATTTTTTAACGCCTTTCTTTCCTCACGGTTTTAGAACTGTTGATAAATTATGTATAAGTTTTTAATAAACTCATTAAGAATGGAGATGCCAACTTATCGTAGTCTGGTTACAATCAATGGGATCTCACAACCCTCGGCTAAACGAACACTGAAAGGACCTAGCTGTTTGGTTAAAGTTATAGACAAGATCAGCTGGGATATTACATAGATGATATGTTTGGTTAAACGTATAGACGAGAATATTGATATGTTATATGGATGATTGGTTAAAGGTATAGACAATATCATCTGGGGATGTTACATAGATGATGTGTTTGGTTAAAGTTATAGAAAAAATACATCACGAAATGATACATAGGATATATTCGGTTTAAGTTATAGACACGAATGAACACAATATGTTACATAGATGATATGTTAGGTTAAATTTATAGACAAAAATCATCACGAAATGACTAAAGGCGGATTTGTTTTGTTTAGCTTATAGACACAAAATATCATTGGTTCAACTATGCTAGTTTTTCAATAATCTTTCTACCTTTTTACGAGTTTGCAAAAAAAGTATAATAGAACAGAGCAATTTATTAAAATCGATAAAGTACCTTGGCAATAAATGCCACAAAAATATGGAGATAATTTGGTCTAATTGGAAATCAATGTTTAAAGGTTCACCGATGTGCTGTTAAAGAAATTTGTCATGTATTTTCAAGATAGGTAACGATTCAGTAACGAAATGGAGCTTTTGTCAAATAACAGGAACACATACGTGCTATAGTTAACTATCAAATCACAAATGTTTGGTTAAGTAATACACATCAATACAAAGGGGTGATGTATTTAAATAAATAAGTAAAAACGTTATGTAAAAATTTATGAAGTTAACCAATCGGACAGATGGGTTAACAGCGCCAACGAAGTAGAGTTTACTACTTTTTTAGATGCAGTATAAGAAGAGATCAGTTGAACAATTTGATGCCCAACATACTGTACTTTCTGTTAAGGGATGAGTAGACCCTCGATCCAAACTCAAAATTTTTCGGGTTAGCAGTCGTGCGCTCTACTTCCGGGTCACGCCGTACTCTCATTACATCATCACTTTTCTGTGGGCCCCTTGTGATGCATAGGGGACACAACCACACCACTCCATCGAACTCGGTACTGAGCGATTCCTCCAAGTTGGGTCCACGTCATTCAGGCTGCTTCTGACAATCATCTTTTCCAAGTTTATTTTTGTCTACCAACTTACGTCTTTCCTAGGGGATTCCGACCTGGCGATATTGCTAGTTGGTTTACGCAGAGGTGTGTCCATTCAACACCCATTTGTACTTTCGTATTTCTTTGCACATCGAACTACAGGACTATGCAAAAAAAATAAATGATAAAGCAGTACTGTCGCAGTCGGGTTTTGCATGCATTACATAAATTTTAAAACAGTTGTATAGTGTCGATATAGGCAGACACCTAGACATTCGTCACCACGACTGGACTAGCTTGACCACCCAATCCAATCATAGAAGCGTACGTAGTACACTAATTGACCAAAATACGTCCCTTCGTCACATAGACAAGCCAACACACGGGTCCCAGAACAGAATGGAACCCCCCACCCCCGAAGAAAGTCTACCGCCCCTCCCTCCAACCCCCCCCCCCCCCCACCCGAACAAAATGGAATCTATTATAGAAAAGATATACTTTTAACAGTGTCCGCCCCACCCTCCCACCCACCCGAAATTTTCCTGAGAAAAAAGTCTGAAAGAAACACTGTGCCAGAGTGCACCACCAACTTGTCTGTTCAGACTTGCCGTGATCCCCGACGAGAACAGCCGCCATGATGGATTTACTGCCTCTATTGTGACACGGTGAATTTTTTTTTTTACTGCTGGTGATCGCGGTTTAGTGCCGCACTAAAGTCTGAAGCGGGCTGACGATGTCTCTTGGGACAGATTACACAACAATAAACATCTAGATAATTATAGATGAGTTGTTTTTTTACTGCTAGATTATGCCTCATGATCTTCTCGTAGGCTCTCGCTTGAGATTCCGGCCCGTACTTATTTTGTTTGTCCTTTATAAAAACAAAATTAAGCCAACAGAAGTATCTTGAGGGTATAGTTTTTGGAAGGTTTTGAGATGAAGAAAAACGTGTTTTTTAAACATATAATTTGGCTGTTTTATATTTAGTTTGCCATCAATATTACCTCAAGAGCGTAGTTTCAATATATTCATTGAAAAGAAAAATCGATTCAGGTCGCTTAGCTCGTAAATTGGGCGTAAAATACTTTTCATGATAATTCTCATAAATTGAGTGTATGTAGTATCGATTAGGCTTTTAATGTTTGAAAAAATGCACATAAAACGTTTTTTTAATAACACACTTTTATGAAATACGGCAATAAAAAGGAGAACATAAATTATGTTCTTTAAATATGTAATAATGAACTACTAGTTTGATAACTTAAAATAAAAGCGTGGGTCTCTATATAATGTATCGAATACCTTTACTTGAATTTAAGAAGCGACCCATGCTTTTATTTTTAGTTATGAATAACGCACCTAAGCAACATTATTTTCAACCAATCACTCTGACCACAGGGTATCACATCCTCCATTAAACACACAATTAGTCTGGGGGTAAAAAAAAGAAAACAGCGCCCAGCTCCGCCCATACATTGTTAATTATCACGTCCAGTTGTAAGGCGACCTTATACCGGTTCGTTACGGGCCGCTTCCCTCTGTTTCCTGTGTGGTTTCTAGAGCGCTGGTCAGGTATAGTGGGAGATGTGGAGATAACGAACCTGTCAATACATGTGGAACTGTGGTATAGGCCAGGCAATTAACAATCATGTTTATTCTGGGTCCAATCAGCTGTGTCATAGGCTCTGTATCCAACAATCAACTGTCATAGATTCTGTATCCAACAATATCAACCTTGTCATGGGCCCTGTATTCAACAATCAACTGTGTCATATGCCCTGTATTCAACAATCAACCGTATAATAGGCCCTGTATCCAACAATTAACTGTGTCATAAGCCCTGTATCCAACAATTAACCTTGTCATAGGCCCTGTATTCAACAATATCAACTGAGTCATAGGCCCTGTATCCAACAATCACCTGTGTCATGTGCCCTGTATCCAACAGGTAATTGTGCCACACGCCCTGAATCCAACACTAAGAATTCTTGTAGGTCATTTATCAAACACTCAAGTTTGTTATAAATCTACATTCAACACTCACTGATTGCTATAGTTCATGGAACCGACCCTCGTATATCTTGCCGGTAATTCCTTCAATACTACGATATCTTAAGAAATCCAACTTTTACATAATATATCATACTGCTCTGCTATTGGACGTACCGAACGAAGACCAACCCGTAATAATTTGGATTATGCTTTGCGTTTTATACAGAGTAAACTGTGACTAGTTCTGGTTTCAAATGCTAAGAGCAGTTATTAGACTTGACAATTCTAGATCCAGATCTATCAATTTTGTGTTTACGTAGTATTGTTATACATATCACGTGATCCGAGTTTACTTAATATTTTTTGGTTTATTCTTATTTCTGTTTTTGTAAAATAGTTTTAATGTTATCTCGTTTTTGTTTTATCCATAGGTAGACTTAGTTGTCTGACTGCTACACTGTAGCTACCATTCATTCAAACACTCTGGATAGCTACACTGTAGCTCTAGAACGTTCATGAACATTTTACGTACCCCACACTATTTGGACTTAACTTTTTTCTTAACCCAGCACCAGAGGAGAAGATTCCAGGATATTTTCACTTCTCTATTTGTGACGGGGTAAGTAACTCTATTTCAGATCCGTAGATATGTAGACCTTTTAGATTGTGAAGACTTGCACATTGGGTATCGCTAGGTGCCAACCTCAGGCAGAACACAACGAGAACTCGCACCAAAGCATGAGGTCGATTACTGAGGATCTAAACCTATAAAAAGTAATTTGTGAATGGTATTCTAATTGTGCATACAAAGCGAGAATCGCAATCTAGTCAATGGAAGTTTTGTTTTAAAATGTTTTTACATACCATGGACTATGTGATCAGAGAAACGTGTTAAGTTCCCTATTCGAACCTGATGGTCTATGGGGCAAGTGAAGCAGAGTTCAGCTGTTTCTATGACCTGTTTCTGTGGCCCACAGACAAAATTTGTATAGAAGTTAAATTTGTTTGTTAAGGAAACGAACACTTCTGTGAAAAACACAGGTGCTAGTGGATGAGAAATCAAACCGAGATCAACAGAGCCATATTGATCTAAATATTATCTGAATTGTTCTTAAATATAGGCGATATGTTCAATTATGTTCTTACAAGGTAATACAATTTACTATTTTTGAAAAACGCATTTCATTGTAACACGCAATTCAATGGTTTTAGGGGTTCATTAGGGGTCGGCGTGGTCGAGTCGGTAAAGCTCATGGTTGCTAAACCGAAAAGTCTCGAGTTCGAACCCTCGGGCAGATGAGGCTCGTTAGCTGGGGACAGCCACTCTTCAAGGAGAGACAACTCCAAAATTAAATTGTAGTTTGTTCTTGGTTGGACAAAGGCTATGGAAGCAAATCCAAAAAAGAAAAGCAGGCTGAAATCGGAGTCAATGGCCTCAATGGCGCATAACCAGTTGACACGTAACGCTTAATTGTGTTGGAGGCGTGGTCGAGTCGGCAAAAAGCTCATGGTTGAAAAATTCGAACAAAGTCTCGAGTTCAAACCCACTGGCAGATAAATCTCGATCCCCTTCAACACTAATAATTAAGAACAAAGAAGAAGAAGAAGAGGGGTTCACTCAGTGAATAGTCGAATTTCTGGAGATTAACGTCGTTACTACTTTTGTCTATAAATGAACGCTTTTGTAAATTATTGGGGAAACAGATACCAGTTTAGTATAATTAATTTAGCCAAGTACTAGTTCGGCGTAACTTAAAAAAAAGATTTCAAAAAGTTCAGTAAATAATAAAATAAGCTTGTAATTTTCAATAGTTAAAATCATTATACCGATTTCTTCAATGGCATTTTAAAACACCGAAGTTTAAAATTATTTTTAAGTAAAAAACACATCGTTAAAATTTGACTAGCACGGAACCCGAGTAGTTTTCGAACTCACGACCGCTATCTGATCTGATTACGACGACTGTTGACTTAGCGATTGAGTTTCAACGCCAAGCTGTAAAGTTACGTCTGCAAACAAAACACGACCAGCTGTTTCCTGTGCTGCGCGCGCCTCTCGCGTCAAACCGGATCCTCTCGGTGCAGCGCCCCCTTGCGTTAGGGTCTTGACGCTTCTTGTGGGTTGTGTCTGACGGATGATTGTGTCAATGTATGTGTGTCTGTAGTGTCATGTGTGCATGTATATGTGTGTGTGTGTCTATAGCTATTTGTTGTAAAGATAAATCGTTCAGCTCAACTAAAGGAAAAGAATTTAACATGTTTTGCATGATTTAACTGTATTGTTATGGGCCTTATTTTTCGAAAAAAAAAAAGGGTCTGTGCGTGTTTGGGGGTAAGGAGGGGGTTGGGGGGGGGGGGAGAGGGTATTGTTATTTGATTATAAAATATTAACAATTAGAGAACACAGGCATACATTACACAGTATTTAGAAATTTTGTTAAATTAATTTTTTATAAAGCTTTATTGGGTTTTTCTGTTGTAGTATTTTATCCTTTTATATACCTGAAGTATAATATATGCATCCATACATCCAGGCATATATATATATATATATATATATATATATATATATATATATATATATATATATACATATATAATGCCTAGCTACTAAATAATCTTCCACCACACCCTACAGACATAGCTCCCAACCACGACCCCGACACGTTCACCTATAAGAAAACACATGCGGTGTTAAATTCTCTTTTATAAATATTCAAATGGCCAAGTGTATTTCGATACCCAACAATTTACACAGAAAGAAAGAAAAAAACTTGAGCCTGACAGTTCCTCTCCCCCCCCCCCTCCACCCTGGGTTCCCGCCCCCTCCCCCCCTGGGTATCGTTTTGCTGTCATGTAGGTAGTCATTGAGAGAAGTTCTGTAGTTGGATCATTCGCCCCACAACTGGTGCTAGAGGCAGAAAAGTAATACGTGTGTCTTTGTGTGTGTATCTGAGTGTGTATGTGTGTATGCGTGTGTGTATGCGTGTGTGTATGAGTGGAAGAAAGAGGTTTTTTGGGGGACTGTATCGGCATGTCTGAGTGTGTGTGAGTGTGCGTGTATGTGTATGTATACAACTGTATATATGCTAGTGTGTGTGTCTAGGTAGATCAGAAACGCTTGAAATGAACCATGGAATTAAGAAAAAAGATGCTAGTTATGTTTGCTCCATACTCTAGTTAACTTCCCCTCATAGACTGAAAGGTCTTGTACATCAAGGAACTACACCATATATACTCATTTTAAATCAAAACTTTTTATCGTAAACTGATTGTTTAAAGATATTCTGATATTTAAATCTATTGACGATACTAGTGTAAACAATACAAAAATCCCTTCCTTTACTTGTATTTAAGAACCACCCGGGACAAACTTTCAATTTGGCGCCCCCATCGAGAGCAAATTTTCAATTTGCACCCCCATCAAACTTTCGATTTGCAACCCCCCCCCCCCCCCTCAAACTTACTATTTAAAATGCAAAAATGAAGCTAAAATGACATTTTAATCTGTTTTTACAACCCATTTTGGCGCCCCCTAAGGTCGGCGCCCGGGGACATATGTACCGCTTGCCCCCCATCGCTACGCCTCTGTGTTAATCTTGCAACTCGCAGGCTTCCGTTGACTTCAACAGCGAATTAAAAACACAATTAATGGACTGTTCTTTAAACCTCTAAAAATTGAAAAATAAATCTTAATTTAACTTACATATGGAAACGCAAACTTTTAATTTTTTACACTGGGAGGTCCACGTCTCCAGCCATTATATGCATGCAATTAGATATGTATTTAGTTTTCTTTTATACTTTGTCACTCCATGTGTGTATGTGTTTGTGAGTGGGAGGAGGGGGGTGAAGTGGGTCCTTGTCCCTACAAACAGGTGTTCATATTTACAAACGCCGATTATTGTATCCGACTAATCCATTGAGACAGGACTGATCGAGCACCAATACAAGAGATTCATCAACAAACACATAACGATCGAGATTTTACAAACATTATTTTTTTTACACATTTAACCTACCGCTGTGTAGTGGTTCATGCCGTTCCCCCCCCCCCCCCCCCCCCCCCCCGCAATATCTCGCGCTGCCATTGGTTTTGACAATGCGCCACAAATCAGCCATTGTTGGCGAAACGAACCAAAACACTTAAAGATATTTGTGTAGACACTCCACGTAATTTGTTTTTAACACTTGATGGCACGTCATTCAATTAGGACGCCCTGGCATTGCGTCTATTTTTATTTGTGAAAATATTTTACTGGAATAAGATTTCAGCAGGAGAGATAACCCATTTTTACTTTAGTCTGTTGTTTTGTTTTTACCGAAAATCTTCACCTGGTTAGGTGGTATCATTTGTTTCATGATTATTGGCTAGGGTGGCTGCATTCGTTTTAAAAGTGTAAACTTGATTCTTTACATAGGTAATTTTATTCGTTTTATAGGTATAGTGCAAACATGATTTTTTTTAATTTGGTCGGTATCATTCGTTTTATTGGTGTAAATTTGATTCTTTACTCTGGGAGAGGGGGATGTGGACATTTGTTTTATAGGTGTTAATTTTAATCTTTACTTGGAAAGGGGGGGGGGGTATCATTCCTGTTACAGGTGTAAACTTGATTCTTTACATGGGTGGCTTTATTTGTTTTATAGGTGTAAATTTGATTCTCTACATAGATCATTAACTCGTTTTATTGGCGTAAATTGGATTCTTTACTTGACTGGTAGCAAGATGTTGGTGTTATGTGTCTTTATGTCTGCCATGCACATGTGCCCCTGCCATTCCCTCCCCCCCCTTCCCATTTTGTTAAACATGTCAGTTTATCCAGGTCAAATTAAATCTGTTAAAATGAAAATAAAGGTTCACTGTATGTTTAGTCTACAGAAACAGACATAAGTTTCAAACTTTCATTTAAACAAATCTTCGATACAAGCCTGAAAATAGATGGAGGGTTGCAGTTAGGAAGAATTATAAAGGTTTCCGATATAACAGTTTATTAAATATAGTTTTGTTGGGACACTGTAATTTATATACTGTAGTACACACGTTCTCACACGTACATGTACAGATGCGTACACAAACTCTCATATACATATTTATTTATATGTTTCTTACAGCTGTTTGATGCAAGTTAAAATAATGCATTATATAATTATTCACAGCTAAATCTAAACTTAAACTGAATTTGTTTAAAAAAAATTCCGCATGTACTGATGGCTTTGAAGTGCAAAACAAGATTTGTCAAATTATGCAAACTTTAACGACCTGATTTTAGTGTGAAAAAAAAAACAACTCCAAAATAAAAGAGCGACCAGTAAAGGCAACGGAAAATGAAGCGCAGGATAGTACGAGATTACCATTGGATGGGACGAGATTATCAACCTTTGGTAATCTTTCTGCACTAGCGTCAAGGCACGGAGCTCAAATATTTTCATCCACGTCTTCACACGTCGGGGTCTTTACTTTTTTTTCTTCTAGCATGAACGATTTATGGCAGGAGTTAGGTCCCTTCTAGCCTCGGTTAGGGGCGTTCTCTTGTTTTATCGTGAGGGTATTGTAGGTGGTGGGAGCTCCGTATCGTATGTCTTGACGCCTTTCATCTTTTCGGGACGGGAAACTAA